TCCTTGGAATATCATTGCAAGCAGGCCACACCCCTAGGGAAACTCCCCTTGGGCAGACTGGCCACTCAGAACTCAGTCATCTGATCCCATCATGGGAACAACCACCCAGAACTGGGGTCCAGCCAAGTTGACACACAGCTCCAACCATCACACTATTCTAAATCTACAGATAGAACTCCAGAAGATTAATACTAAATTCTTAGAAATAGATAACATATTGAAAGGGCAAAAGAGTAAAATTGATACAATGGAAGACAGAATTAATGAGATTGAAGACAAATACCTGAACAATTCTCTGGAAAGGGATCAATCAGAAAAAAGACCAAAACAAAATGAAGAAAGCCTAAGGTTCATGTGGGATACCACCAAAAGGAATAACCTATGTGCCACTGGAATTCCAGAACAGGAAGAGAAAAACCACTGAGATAATTGTCCAAGATTTGTTGGAAGAGAACTTCCCTGATATGATGAAAGATGAGATTATATCCATTCAGGAAGTCCAACGAACCCCAAACAGGAAAGACCCCAAAAGAAAATCACCAAGACATATCATTATCAAACTTACCAAAACCAAAGACAAAGAAAGAATCCTGAAAGCAGCATGGGAAAAACGAAAAGTTACCTACAAAGGGCAACCAATAAGACTTAAGCTTGGATTTCTCGGCAGAAACCATTGCAGGCGAGAAGACAATGGGATGGTATATATAAAACTCTGAAAGAGAAAAATGTCCAACCAAGAATTATGTAGCCAGCAAAACTGTCCTTCAAATATGATGGTGAAATTAGGACATTTCCAGATAAGCAGAAATTAAGGGAATGTGTTAAAACCAGACCAACCTTAAAGAGATGCTAAAGGGAGTTCTTTGGGCAGAGAAGCAACAACAGCCAACAACAACTGACCATTAACACACATGATGATATAACCTAGAAACCAACCTAGCTATGGATGTATCCAAAGTAAATAAGCCTACAAGATTGTAAACAGGGAACCAGAGACATCAATTGACAAATGAGGATGATTACAAACCAAAAAGAGGAAAAAAAATGTGTCATTACAGAACTTCTAGATGGTAGGGATGTCAAGACAACTACAAGACAGAATGGACTGTTCTAAACTTGGGAAGAAAACTATAAATCACAGGGTAACCTCAAGGAAAATGATGAACCTTCACTTCAAAATAAAAAAGAGGACAAGCACAAATATTTAACAAATGTTTAAACAATAGCACCACTCCTCGGAAGGAAGACTAGGCAATCTACTTCCGTAGTGATGTTGTTGTTAAGTGCCGTCGAGTCGTTTCCGACTCATAGAGACCCCATACACAGCAGAAAGAAACACTGCCCGATCCCGCGCCAGCCCCACAATCCCTGCTATACTTGAGCCCATCATCGCAGCCACCGTAT